ACTGACCAAAAGGTAACTCCAAATTTGGCATCTGCTCATACTATTTCAAAAATATATATCCACTTTAAGCCCTTTAGAATATATTTGTTTTCACTTTGCACATATTTCTAAGCAACGCAGTTTATATAAGTTCTCAGTACTGTGCAGATTAGAATCAACAAATTAGATAGAGCATGATGACAGCCTGATATATTTGACAGAAAGAATAATGAGGAGTGAGGACTGTCCTTGGTGGAAAAGAGGGAAAAAACAGGAAGAAGACTTAAGTAAGCTTAGTCTAGAGTCATTTAATGTAGAAGACGTTGCTCTTACTGTAACCTGGGGGTCCCCCTCTGTTGCAGGTGAAAATGATTATAATGATACCGAGTCATTATTCAAAAGCCATTACTTTTGAATAATATACTCAAAAATACTGTTACTTTCGTTCCATCATTCAACTAACATTTACTGAAATTGACTTATTTCCTTGGCCATGTGCAAGGCAATGAGGAAGATAAAGAAGACATGGCAGTGGATTTTGAAAAGCTCTTAGGTGGAAAAATACAGGGAAACCTATTTGGAATAGCATGACAGTAACAAAACATGCTACACTAGAAATATTTACAGAGGGCTACAGGAGCAATCAGATGTATACAGTGCATCGGAGAAAATAGTTCCCAACACAAACAAATTTCAATTGATTAGAAAAGCTATTATGCGATATACTGCATTCCCAGGGATGCCAGAAAAAGGAGACATCATCACTGTGTGTTACAGTGGTAACAAATGGCAAATACGGCCTGTGGAATAAATCCTCCTGCTTTAGAAGAATCAGTGTGTGTGTAGGCAGAGACATGAAGCATTCTTAGAAGCAGCTTATAATTTATACACGCGATTACATGTCTACGGACCGATCTGGGAGCATGACAGTTGTTTCAGGACATAAACTGAATGAAGAGACAATCCTATCGTCTTGTATTCTCTTACTATCCTTAACACAACTCTACTCGGTAATATACCACACATATTAAGTCTTCGATCCTGAACTTCCCCATAAATTCTAGTTGATTCGACTCCTCAGAAACTCTCCAGAACATCGTTTTTTGCTTGCATGATCTATTTTATCACTTCAACTGTAGGCTTCCTTTCCTGTCATTGGGCCATTTGATTTCACTGGTGCCTTGCTTGTCTTCTCAGTGAGAGACTCTGGCTGTGAATTCCCAGAGGGAAGAAATTGTTCCTCTCAGGGCTTTTAAGTCTCCCCTATCACTCAGCATATAGTTAAAATACAAAGCATGTACTCAACAAATACAGTTAGTGAATTTAAAATGAATTTTTACCACTCACAAATGAAAATTTACCACTCTTATCAGTATGGTAAGCCGTAAGTGAAATCGCCAAAGCTGTTTTCCCATAGGTAAGGTTACATTTGGTGCCTTAAAATACGATTGCCAGGAGAACCTGGGTGGCTCTGGGTGGCTCAGTCAGTTAAGCATCTGACCCTTTTTTTAAGTTTTTTTTTATTTTTGAGAGACAGAGCGCAAGCGGAGGAGGGACAGAGAGAGAGGGAGACACAGAATCTGAAGCAGGCTCCAGGCTCTGAGATGTCAGCACAGAGCCTGATGTGGGGCTCAAACCCATGAACCAGGAGATCATGACCTGAGCTGAAGTCAGACGCTTAACCAACCAAGCCGCCCAGGTGCCCCATCATCTGACTCTTGATCTTGGCTCTGTTCATGATCTCACTGTGACTTTGAGCCCCACGTTGGGTCCTAAGCTAACAACGCAGAACCTGCTTGGGACTCTCTGCCCCTCTCCAGCTTGCACGCAGCAAGCACTCTCTCTCATTTTCAAAATAAATAAATAAGTAAACATTAACAAAATACCATTGCCAATGGATTGCCCTCATTGCAAGAGATTGCAAACTCATCCTGTCTACGCTGCAAGTTCATCTGACATTTATTTATTATTTCTTGCTCTCAGTTATTTCTGCAGAGATTATTAAGAGGTTCTCAAAATGTAGTGGATGCAAATGAAAGGAGTTTTTCACTTCTCATCATCGTACAATTGGACTGCATATCTGGTTAATAGAAGTCTGAAAATATATCTGATTGCTAGAGATATTTATGTAAGTGCAAAGGAAAGATCTGTGTTCCTAGTGGAACACTCCCTTCTGCGTCACACACCCGTTCATAATCTGACTGCAGATCTGGATTGTGACTAATATTTGGCTCTAATATTATAGGTGGTTACTGTGGAGGGAATCAGTAAGGGCATAACTGTCATTTCCTTGGAAAAATTTAATCCACAGATGGATCCCAACACCCAACTGCACTGGTGTCCAAAACTAATGGGGATTTTTGCTAAATAAGGACTGATTCAGCCAAAAAAGATACATTGTGACTAGAGAAATCTCTATCACGCATCATTCCAAAAAGTCCTGAAAGCTCTGGAACACGAGAATTTTCCTCATAGGGACATAGTGACAAGTCACTTATTCATTAAAATGTACATTTATTTTTTTTCCTTTATAACATGAAGCAGTGGAGTTAATCAAAGCTATCATGCATTTACAAAGTGTCATTTACTTACAGAAGGTAATCCTTCTTGTTTCCTTATTTAGCTAAATAACAAAGGTAAAACTTCTATTCAGGCTGGGACTCTGCGTATTGCAATAATCAATTTTTCTTTAAGAAAGAAGCCTTGCTGCATATCAGCCCGTGGTGGGTAAGAGTGACGCTGACGAGAAAGATGAAGGTGCGTCTATTTATTTGCCCCCTACCATAACAAAATTTATGTAACCAACCATAATCTTATAACTTTGCATTCATTTCTTTAAAGATTCTTCTATTACATGAAACTCTCTTGGCCTATGTTTGTAGTCAGTTTCTTCAGATATAGTAGAATATTAAAATAAAACAATTTCAATCCACATGCCAGAAAAATGGCACTCCTTTCTGGATGACTGATTTGCCAAAAGAGCTCATTACCTGGACATAAAAATGCTGTCATCTCTCTGAATTCACATGGGCTGGAAAAGTCTTAGCTATCTACAGATGCACGGATTGAATCATAATAAAGGACATATACATAAATGAATGATTTCCTCTTTCCTTTTAGGCTTAATGTTTTAAGGGGTTAACTGGACCTCTCCCAACTGTTTCTTAGAAGAAACACAATTTCAGAAGCAGCTTATTGTGGTGGGCAGTGAGATGTCACTCCTTGTCTTTCCTTTGGCTACGCACAGTTAGTCTGTCTATCTCCACGTTTTTAGCTTTGGGCTGCAGACTGGGTTTCGACACATCCATCTATTTTGCAGAGTTAATGCAAGCTGTTTAAAAGTAATACATTACTTAATAATATTAAGGTAGACAGACCCCTCCCCCCCCCACCTTTGTGAGGCATTATTTCGCATACACGGTTTTACAAGGCAAGGCGTTTACAGGGCTTGGAGGACTGTATAACCTCAGCAAGTGGAATGGAACAGCAATACGTTTGGCTCTCAGAGCAGATACGCCGCACGCACAACTTATTTCTCACTCTTAATTTCAGTCTCTCGCTCAGCGCCAGGACAGGCGGCACCCTTGCTAAAGCAGGGTTAAGTACGCATCTGCAAGACCTAGCATATTTCACCAGCACCTCCTAGGGGCCAAGTGAGGGTATGAGGCTAGGAGGTGGGCGCAGACCCTTTCCTTGAATTGTCAGTTTCACCTCCTCTCCGCTCAGAAAGCCGCCAGCCTGTGCCGCCCCAATACCAGCCAGACCGTGGAAGTAGTTTGGCGACTCTAGGAGGCCTTGAGAGGTTTAAATCAACTGCACGAAAGACGCATTGGGTCGCTTGAGGAAATAAACATTACACACACACACAGGAATTTCAAACTCCGTGTAAGGAAGACTCCTAAATATACTGTGTCCTTTAAGAGCAAAGCTTCGTTATGACGCCTAAGTAATCAGAGATATATGTACTTACTCGATTGACACACAGAGATACACACACACACACACACACACACACACACACACCCCGACACACAGACACGCGCACACACGGACTAATCTGTCAAATTGCAGGATCCAGACGCGGTTAACACTGAAATTGACAGAGGGTTTTAAAGGGTCTACATGCTCTTGCCTGGTTGCTGGGAGTGAGGGCTGGGAGGCGCGGATGCGAGGGCAGAGCTGAGTGTCTGTAGGAGTTGCTGTTCCAGAGAATTCATTACTCTAATTGCTCTGATTTTAGATCAGTAGAGCGTGCCGGGCGGCGGCGGAGAAAGAGATTGAGGGCGGACAGTGCGAGAGGGAACGAGTCGTTCACCCTGCAGAGAAGTCTAGGCGCTGTGTAAGTAATTCACGGACAGCCGGGCGCAGACAAGAGCCCAGCGGCTCTGCAGTTGCAAAAGTTGTGCGCGTCTAAATCCAGCCGGGCTCCGCGCGCCGGTCCCGGTCCCTTTGCCCCACTGCGTTCGCGGCTCCTCCGCCGGGGAATTCGGGGGACGAGGGGCTGTAGGTGCGAGCGAGGGGGGGGGGCGGGGAGATGCGCCGGGGCCGCCGCGCAATGCGATCCTCCCCGCCTGCAAACGCTCCTCCCGGCCCTGGCAGCCCCTCGCGGAGCCCAGCGAGCCGCCGCCGAGGAGAGCAGAAGGGAAGTGTGGGGCTCGGAGACGGCCGAGGAAGCCGGTCCCCAGGCCGGGCTGCAAGTAGGCAGCCGCAGGAGCCCGGCCGCGGAGCTGCCCACCTGCTGCCGTCCCAGCTGGGGCGCAACTTCCTCCTCCCCGGCCGCGGCCGGACTCCCCGACCCCGCTCGCAGGGCGGAGGGGGAGGAAGCGGCGGCAGGTTCTCCTCGCTGGCCGCGCGGCGGGTCGCGGGTGTAGCATCCTCCCCTCCCTGCTGCGATTCCCGGGGCCGGCCGGGCGGCCAGGCGCGCTGCGATTGGCCGGCAGAGGCCGGGGGGCGGGGCCAGGCGGGCCGGTGTCTCAAAAGAGCCCAGGATATTGCAGAGCGCACTAGAGCCCTGGCCAGCGCACAGCCTTACCCGGCGCCGGCAAGCTGGGTCTTGGGGATTCTGGTTTGCTTTGGCTCACTCGCTTTTACAAACTACTGGATCTTACATGCCTCTGTACCCCCCACTTCCACTCCATGTCCCCATGCTCCTGCGCCAGCAACAGGTAAGGGCCGCTGTGTGTTTTCTTCCCTCCTTGTCTCCCGCTGCCTGTGTGTCCTGGGGAGCGGACTCGGGCCGCCGTCGCCGACCCTGCCCTGCCCCGCCTGCCCCAGAGGTGCCCAGCTGTCACGCCGCTGTAGCGCTTACCCACGCTGCGGAGTCCCAGATCATGCCTATAGAGTTTGTGTGCGCACCAGAACATCCCCAGAGCTAAAAATACTGAGACATGCTTGGAACAGTTGAGCAATAGAAACAGATTTCTCTGCAGCATCTGTTTGTGCTCATAACTTCCAATGCACCAGCTGTAGCAAGATACTGAGTTTGGAGACATGGGCCAGGGAGCCTGTGTTCGATTCTTGCTCTAAGGAAGGAAAAAAAAAAAAAAAAAAGGCGGGGGGTGGGGAGTGCTTCTAGAGCACTGGTCTCAAATCTTGGCAAACTTGGGACTCAGCAGTAGTCTTGATCCTTCCTTGGCGTCTTTTTTTTCCCCTTTGTCATTGCTTCAAGTGTAGCGTGGAGTTCCAAGCAGAGCGAGCGTCTCAAAGTTGCTTTGCTGGGGAAAGAGAGCGCGAGCCCGAGTTGGATTTGAGCCCCAAGACCGCAAAACTTTCACATCATTTGTCACTCTCTCCTAAGCAACGTATTATTCTTGGTAATAATAGTATTAATACCTAAGTTGAAGACAGTGTGGTTTCAGGAAAGCACAGTGGCCAGAATGACTTGATTCTGCAAAAAGATTGCATCATAACATAGACTTGTCATGACAATTGAAAAAAAAAAATCGAGATAGGAAATGGGCAGTTTAATGTCTGTGTCTGGATAAGCCTGCCAGTTGGATGGTAACTAGGATACGGCTGTGAATCCTGGGTATTTTCATAAGCTCAGAATTTACCTGTTAGGAAACAAGGCACTGAAAACGTGTTTTAGGTATGAAAGAATGCAACTGCCTTTTACCACTTACTTTCTCTTCACATTAATAATCAATAGGCTGTCAGATTTCCTCACACCACTGCCCTGCATCTGCTGTATAATACCTGTACACTTGTTAGCTTTTTCCTGCTCACTTCCACGCCACCGCTGAGTGGTTTATTTATATGTGCCAATATCTGGAAAAATCTCCAGGCTCAGGAGTAAGACATGTTACTTCAAGGATGGTGGGAGGGGTCAGCGTTGGAGTCAAGGTCACTTAACTTTGCTTTAACACCTCCCTCTCATGTTGTGGTGGCACTTTCTTTACTGTTTTTGTATTGTATCCCTAGGAATATTTGTTCTAAACGCTGGTGAGTTTGGCTTTTTTTTTTTTTTTTTAAGGACACACAGTATTTCTATCATCTTTAGATGCTCCAGTTGTAGAATCTCTGGTTAGCTGTAGAGTCCTTGTATGACTTTTCCAGAGCATGAAAGATGGGCCACATTTTTACCTGAACTGATAAGCTGTTGCAGGCTTTATCTCCCCAAATATGTCTGTTTCTCAGCATTTGCAGATGCTGGGTGATGCTACGTGCATTGCTGAGTATAAATGGTAGAGTGCTCACGCAGATAAATGCATATCCCTCTACCCTTCCCCTCTTACCCCTCCCCCTCCCTTCTGTTTACTGAGCTTCTAAGAGGCTGCTTTGCCAGCAGTTGTGCTCACATAGCAACATGTGCCCTGAGCACACTCAGGCTGGTCTATGTGGCGTCAGCTGGGGAATAACTGCTCTAAACACTCATTAGCAGACCTTTCTTTCAGCCCAGCACACTTTCTTTACCTATCCTTATTTCCTGTCCTTAGTTAGAAACTTTGTTATCCACTGTACACCACGACTGTATTATTTACGGGACACATTTATTCTTCATAATTATATTTTTCCAGTTTCTTATAGCTCATCTTGGGAATATTTCCTATATGATAAAAATGATTCAGATTCGCTCATTTATACAGTGTTATCTCCTTGACCTTGAATTTATCTGTAGTGCTCTCTCTCTTTAACATCTACCTAAGATTGAAATGGCTGAACTATTTTTTTCCATTGCTTATGCTTAATTTTGGCTCAGCCTATAAATAGTCTTAACATGAACAGCACCACATGTAGCCTCTCAATTTCCCAGAAATACTTTCTACCTCATTGGTTATAGCCTGGGTAAAATGATTATTTGTATGTATTAAATTTACATCAGGCCCTGAAATATTTTTGCTGAGAGGGGACTTTACACATTGTTCATCAAATCAAATATGGATTCTCCCGAGTTGTACCCCTTAAGGAGTCAAATCACTTAGTGTTCATTACTCTTGATTGAATGTTTCTCAAAGAATCATTTTGAATATATGTCTACAATAAACTGGCATGAAAGCCCTGTTCCTAATCAAAGTTTTCTCTCTAGACACTCAAGAATCGGTGATACTTAGTGGGAGGAAAGCAGGCGAGGAAGTTTTCTGCTTGCGTAAAGTCAGTTGGGCATGTGGGTAGGTCAGTAAGAAGGGCATTCATCATAATGAAATATTAAGACAATCACTCTAGCAAACTGTGGCAAGTTCCAGAGTTTTGCTCTGTAATCAGTTTCCCAAAACTCTGAATACACATAATGTGTGTGCACACATATACACACATAAATCTGTTTTGGAGCATATCTGTTCGAAGTGACAAAAGCTTCCGTTTTGCCAAAAAAAAAAAAAAAAAAACTTTTTTCCCCTTTCCAGGCAGAAGGGTAAAATTTCTAAATGATACTCTACATGTGGAACAAATTCTGTCATAAACAGTGGAAATAAGACAATAATAGTCGTTCAATACAGGCTGTTTTCAAGTTCTAAATGCAGAAAGCTATTCGTAGGAAGCTGGTGTTGTGTTTTGCAGAATTCGAACTGATGTCCTGGGGTCAAGATTTTTGGAAGGTCGTAATTCAGTCTTTGGATTTCATATGGTTGTTAAGCTTTAATCTGGAAAGAGTGCAGAAATAAGTCAGAAGAAATTTGAATCTGTCTACTCATGGTCCCTCATGGTAACTCAGATGGAACGCTTGTTTTGAATCATGAAAAGGGAATTTCTTGGTGTCAACTTATAATATAAGATTCTGAAGTCATCCAGAGCTCAAGGATACAAGCACTATTTAAGCGAGCCTTTTCCCCTCCCCCTTTTTTGGAAAGTACACCTGCATCTGCTATTATATTATTATCCCTATCTGGTTTTGTGTAGAAATCTTTGGCAATTTCACATGAGCCCAATAATCTTGAAATCAACTGTTAAAAAAAATCCTTTCCATGTCCAGGACCTAGAACCCTGAGGAATAGGAGACTTGTTTCTTTTGTCCAAGTACAAACTTCATAGAGAAGCAGACAAAACATTGAAGCAGGTGGAAGACTGGGAAGGCACAGTAACTTCTTTTTATAAAGTAATTCAAAGGCACTTTCAAATCGGGCATCATTTAGGTGTCAGAAGCTGCCAAAATGTAACACACATTGCAATTTTCACAGATGACTAATCTCAGGAAAAATGTGTTGGGGCACATTCTTGCATAATAACTTGGATAAGGAGGGAGAAGTGAAATGCCTGTAACGAGGCAGTTTCAAAGACAATGCACCTTGCCTCTCTTTAAGGGGGTGTACCAAAACAAGATACATCGCTTGCTTTATTTGTTTGCAGTTGGCTTGGCTGAAATTGGTTCGGTTAACCACTTAATCTTAATGTGGTTTGGGGGGAGAAAGAAAAAGTGGAGACCTCGTTATCAGGGCTTCAGCAAATCTCTGTTCCTCACCATCTGCTTTTCATTGACCCCCTTTATTGCAGGAGATCGAATGGGTTGTTTGACAAGTGGGGGATTGCTTTTGGTTTTTATATGCCATCTTCGTTTTGTTAATTTCTACTTGATGAAAGAAACACGCTTGACTTTCTTAGACTTCTGTTTGTCACTCAAGGAAAAATAATAGTTTTCTTTGGAGTGAAGATGGGAAGTTAAATAGACAGTTGTTACCTAGGTTAGGATGAAGCAAGAGGAGAAAATTAAAAAACTACTATTTGTTCACATTAGGTAAAGGTGAGTGCCTTCTCCATGGGAACATACAGCTAACAGCAGTGCTCGAAGTGAAAGTAAACTGACAATTATGCTCTGCTCCTACAAAGTTGTCTCTGTTTGGGAAAACATAGAATTGGACCCACATGAAATGAGTTCCTGCCTTATCTCAATTCGCTAAAGACCTGGTCCTTTGGCACAAAGGTACTTACTTCCTAGCCTGTCATTACACATGGCAGTCCCATCTCCGGAGAATTTCAGGACTCATTGCTAGGCAACAGACTCACTCTTTATCCCCCAGAGCGAGCAAACCTACGCCTTCAAGTCAGAATCACTTGCACTACAGAGATGTTATCGGGCATTTCTGCAAAGTGGCTGCTTGCAGCGTGTGAAGTGATGCAGCAAGCCCAAACAGTCTCCAGAAATTGGGACCGATTTCAGATCATTATAAGGGCTGTGTACTCAGTTTTATCATTTAAACAAATTAGTCTGTGCCTTCTGCTTTCCACCGTGTCATCAAGGGCTCCCATAGTCTCCCATAATGCACCTGCAACTCAAATTAATGTGAATGTACTGCATTTATATGAAATGTTCTCTAGACATGTCTTGAGTTCTCAAAGCCTTGCGACAAAATTTGGCCTTAACAAGTCTTTCTTCTGCTTGATAACTTGGGACCCTAGCAAGTACAGAAGGCAAGAGAGAGAAAAAGAGAGGGTATCTGTAAAACAGAATCTCCTAGCTTGCTGGAAAAGGGAAAAAGGACCTGAAATGTTGGTTGAAAGACTGTTCCAAGCAACTACGTCTTCTATGTTTATTGACTTTATTTATATCATATAAATATTTTTGGGGGGCAAAGAAATGAAAAATCCTATTATTCAATGCAGCGTGTACTTCTCTATATTTGACTGTATCTTGTAAAGACATGCTGCCTTAGAGAGTAGAACCCTTCAGTAATGACATCTCTTCTAATGAATAATGTCTTCTGTCTGTCTGTCTGTTTGTTTGCAGGACACGAACCCTGGCCCTGGATGTCAGCTGAGTTACTAAGGTAGCTCTGCATGTCAGTAGACAGACCTTGGTAGAAGCTCAAGGCTCCTGGAGACCCCCCACCTCTCCTTATTTTTTTATGTGTGTGTGTCCTCACTGAACATTCAAAACTGTTTCTCCAAAGGGTTTTGCAAAAACTCAGACTGTTTTCCAAAGCAGAAGCACTGGAGTCCACAGCAGAAGCGATGGGCAGTGTGCGGACCAACCGCTATAGCATTGTCTCTTCAGAAGAAGACGGGATGAAGTTGGCCACCATGGCGGTTGCAAATGGCTTTGGGAATGGGAAGAGTAAAGTCCACACTCGACAACAGTGCAGGAGCCGCTTTGTGAAGAAAGACGGCCACTGTAATGTTCAGTTCATCAATGTGGGTGAGAAGGGACAACGGTACCTTGCAGACATCTTTACTACGTGCGTGGACATTCGTTGGCGATGGATGCTGGTTATCTTCTGTCTGGCTTTCGTTCTCTCGTGGCTGTTTTTTGGCTGTGTGTTTTGGTTGATAGCTCTGCTCCATGGGGATCTGGATGCATCTAAAGAGAGCAAAGCTTGTGTCTCGGAGGTCAACAGCTTCACAGCGGCCTTCCTTTTCTCCATCGAGACCCAGACAACCATAGGTTATGGCTTCAGGTGTGTCACGGAAGAATGCCCGATTGCTGTTTTTATGGTGGTGTTCCAGTCCATTGTGGGCTGCATCATTGATGCCTTTATCATTGGTGCAGTCATGGCAAAGATGGCAAAGCCAAAGAAGAGAAACGAGACTCTTGTCTTCAGTCACAATGCTGTGATTGCCATGAGAGATGGCAAACTGTGTTTGATGTGGCGGGTGGGCAATCTTCGGAAAAGCCACTTGGTGGAAGCACACGTGAGAGCCCAGCTGCTCAAATCCAGAATTACTTCTGAAGGGGAGTACATCCCCCTGGATCAAATAGATATCAACGTTGGTTTTGACAGTGGAATTGACCGTATATTTCTGGTGTCCCCAATCACCATAGTCCATGAAATAGATGAAGATAGTCCTTTATACGATCTGAGTAAACAGGACATTGACAATGCAGACTTTGAAATTGTTGTGATACTGGAAGGCATGGTGGAAGCCACCGCCATGACAACACAGTGCCGTAGCTCATATCTGGCCAATGAAATCCTCTGGGGCCACCGCTATGAGCCTGTACTCTTTGAAGAGAAGCACTATTACAAAGTGGACTATTCAAGGTTCCACAAGACTTACGAAGTGCCCAACACTCCCCTTTGTAGTGCCAGAGACTTAGCAGAAAAGAAATATATCCTCTCAAATGCTAATTCATTTTGCTACGAAAACGAAGTTGCCCTCACAAGCAAAGAGGAAGATGACAGTGAAAATGGAGTTCCAGAAAGCACTAGTACGGACACACCCCCTGACATAGACCTTCACAACCAGGCAAGTGTACCTCTAGAGCCCAGGCCCTTACGGCGAGAGTCGGAGATATGACTGCTTCCTTCTCTGGAATATTTACTTTAAAATACAGTCTGTTGGTCAAAGGCCCAAAACAGTTATTCAGACGACGGTACTGGTGAAGAGGTGGGTCAAGGCAAGTGGCCACAAGGGACTGAGGCTAGCACAATGGTTTCAAAGAAAGACTGTAAGCTCGGAAATGCACATAAAGCACTCAACATGCCTCCCTGTCCCCACCCCCCACCCCACCCGCCCATGACCCAATGGCACATACATGTTGTAGAATAAGTTATGGGGTTTTTATGTATTGTTTTGTGTTTTTACAAAACTTGAACTTGCAGGCAAGCCTTGGTTGGGTATTTGACTAATCCAGAATGCTTCTCTTTAGGGAACAAGAATGTTTTTAATGGCATAACAAAGGCAAGACTCTGCCTTAATTTTTGAAAAGCTGCTAACTACATGAACACAAATCGTATTTTTGTTGTTGTGTAGTTTTTCTTTCGTGTAATTTAAAAGTCAGTGTTGAACTCTGTTGAAAGCTCATGATGTGTGCTTCAAAGTGGCAAGTATTTGGCTATGAGCTGCCAAATGAGAGCCTGATTTTTTGAGGCCAGTAATTTGTTTGCTAGAATTGATTTTCTCTCTCTCTCTGTCTCTCTCTCTCTCTCTCTCTCTCTCTTTGGTTACATAAGGGCATTATGTAACACTAGCCAAATGGTAGCCTCTGGGTTTGTTTGTTTTTTTTTCCTTCCATGATGTTAATGGGTTATCTCAAATTTTAAGTTAGACTACCTAAAATAAATACCAAAGATAATGCACATTTTTGCACAGTGGAGCTTATTCTAAAAGGGATAGAAAGCCCCGTGGCTGCCTTGAAATCAAGAGACAGTAACTTTGAACCTCAGCAAGACCTTGAACTGCCCTTTCCTTTTTCACCGTATTCAGAAAACAGAATATCATACACACAGAATCTAGTAAGTGTAGTGCTTTTTCAATTTTGTTCTTTCATGCAACTTGTGTATGAGAGGGGAAAGAAGAAAGGGGAAGTAAAATTCACATATACACAATATAAAATATCTTTTGCTCCCTGCCAGGTAGGACTGGCCAGGCTGATGCATAAGGTGAGAGATGGCGATGTGCTCTTAGATTTTTCTGGATTTCCCCTTTTTGCACATTCCAAAATTTATTCCATAAGATAAGACCTCCGTTGGAGTTCTTTGGTATCCTCAAAGCTGAGCCATCCAAGATGAAAGATAAATAAGTATAAACCCTTGCAGCTGAATTCCTTGCCCCAACTGTCAGGACACTTCCAGCTTGACTTCGCCTTTGAGAAGATGCCCCACCTGGCCTCTAGGCTGCTTCTTCCCATCGGTCTGTCTGGAGCAAGGCCCATGGTGTCTGGGAGGCTGCAAATGTCAAAGGGGGGAGCCAGCGAGGTGTGGACCAGCCACTTCTGATGTAGCACATCAGCTCAAGTATTCAGGAGGGAGAGGAAAGTTACTTATTTTTTAGTGGTAGAGGGTGGGAATGAAAATGTTGCAGTATTTTAGGGTCAACAAGAGCCATAGAAAATATAAGGTGGCCACAAGTAGAGGAGATAATGAACTAAAAGGTTTATGTCTCCTTTATGTATGCACACTTAGGACTGGATCTGAGCTGATCCTTCTAGCCTGTGTAGCCCAGGAGCAGGTTACTAAGGACACCTTGTTTTGAGAAGTCTCTCCTGCCTGGCTGATCGAAACTTTTTTTTTCCCCCTCTTGCTGTTTCTCAATAATGGAACTCTTTTTTGGCTTCAAGTTCCTTATGTGTGAATTCTGGGGGGTGCTGACTTTTCTTTTTTAATTGGAGTCTCAAAATCAACTCTCTTATGGTATTATATCCCTGTATGCCATTAAAAAACAGCTTGTTCTGGAATCCTGTATTTTGTAAATTGATGTGTGTGATGGTCTCTGGTTCCTGAACAGCCATCGCTGAATGCCGTGCCTGCAATAATAAGACAGTTTCTGCTGTTCTCAGCCTTCAAAGTCGATGGGTTTGAAAACTGGTGTTCTTTTCATTGAAACAAGACAGAGATGTCAAGCAAGTGGATGCTATTTTAAATCCAACTTTAAAGGCAGGTTTGGAAAGTTGTTTAGAGAGTTGGAGGAATTGGGATTGATGGGTCAAAACGATTGACAGAGGAGGGAACAATTTGGCTGTTGACAGTGAGTGAATACTGAGTGCTTCAGCTGCTGCTATTTCGATATTTTGCAAAGGAAAATAATCAAACCAAAGAGTATTCAGTGATCTGAATGAAATGAAGATGCAGTGGAGAATGGGGGTGACCACTGAGAAGGTTCCTCCCAAACACACAGTGCTGCCACTTAAAAACACTTGAGATATTTGAAAGGGGGTGGGTCTGGGGGCAAGGATGAGGGAGGGAAATCTTTCAACTTCTTTCTGAAAAAAGGAAAAAAAAAAATCTAACATTTCTGGTGCACAGGTTTGTTTTTGTTTTTGTTTTTGTTTTTTTCAAGAAAATTTTGCAGAAGCTATGTTTTTAAAGTGTACATTTTATAAAGTTTATCAGATATTTTCATATTTAAAGCCAAATGTAAATAGAAGTCTGTAAAGGGAAAAAAAATTGCCATAGAAAGTATAATTTCCGTGCAGCAATTTCTGAGAGCTAGTACCTATATGCTACCGGTTAGCATGGTTTTAGCAAGTATTTACCAGCCTTATAAGGTTCGTATTGCTATGTTCTGTTATTTATTTCAGCATGGACTGTTCATTTGGAAGCTTTTTCTAGTTATTAGTATTTTACCAATTATAAGCTTTAAATGGCAATTTTTTAATTTTAATTTTTTATTTTTGTCAAGAGCCAAGACACAGGTAATGCACAACATCTTTTGCTGCATTTTACCTTCAAAACATTTGTCCTTATTGACTGGGTCTCCTTTCCATAATTAGTGCACATATGTCATTAGAATGAAGACAGAGGAGACTCGCCGTGAATATCTGGGGTCTCTTCCCAGCTATGTGTTGCTTCTCTATTGTAAGCAAACCCCCGTTGAATTTACTTAAGAATTGCTCCCTTTTAAAGAATTTTTGCTCGTATCTGGATGGGCATTATATTTTTGGGAGGAGGCATAGATTCCTGGTTATCCTATTTTTAAATAAAAGATAGACAAAGTGAATTCTATTTTGACTATTGAGAATGGAATAGTTTTCTATCCCTCTAAGAAGTATACTTGAATCAGACATTGTAAGGATGTCACTATAGCACTGTAGCCATTTCCAAATTCCCGGAGAACGTCTGTTTTACCTTTAAAAAAAAAAAAAAAAAACCTATTAATGCGTTTTTTTTTTCCTCTTCATTTCCTTTCTTCCCTGTAAACTTCGATCCCAAACCTTGATGTCTGTTTGATGAGCTTTGTCCCCCAAATCATGTTACCCTCGCAATTAACAAATGTCAGTTCATGTTTTATAATAAGCCACTCAGTAAAGGCAAGACGCTTGTTCTGAGAAGAAGAGTGAGTTGTTTTTCACTCTAGGTCTAATAAATGTTAAGGTGAAAAATAAAAGTGTTGTATAGTCACCTCCCCACTCCTGACTAGAATCTCTTTTTCTAGTTCTGTTGGGTCTCAGCTCTGGGCTCTGGCGAGTGAAACAATCCCAGTCTCTGACAATCGTGATAGCTATTATTTTCCCATTTGCCGTCTTTTTGTATCTAAAAGTCTTCCTCTTGTACTGCACAAACCATGGATTGTACATATTTTTATATATTATGTCTTATTTTATTATTTCTAAATAAAAAATTAAAAATTGAAGACAAACTGGTGCAAGAGTCTGTGGGCTTCCTGTATGATGGCTGCAGAATTGCTGATTTGTTTCCAAACAATGGGACATAAACCCTGAGCGCTGGAATGAATAGAGCCATAGAAATTGCCCAAATGGGGAGGTGTGGTGGGGTGGCAGATTAACTTAATCCAAGTTAGAGGAAGTCAAGCTCATATTTTATTTTTGGACAGAATGGCGTAGGTAGAGGATAGAAAACAAGCAAGCAAGGAAAACTGATAAATTCATAAGCTTTAGATCTTAACTCTCTGCATAATGACCATAGTTACCCTTTACGGAGCCTAAACTATGGATAGGGTTCTCACTGCCCTCCCCCCTTCATTAGGATATTATTATTCCGGTATTATAAATCAGGAGTTGGTAAAAGTGTTCTGTAGAGGGCCACACGGTAAATATTTGGGGCCTTGCAGAACAGAGAATCTGTCTCAGCAATGCAACTGGGCTCTTGGAGCACAAAAGCAATCACAGATAATAAGAGAATAAATGACTTGGATGTGTTTCAGTAAAACTTGACTGATGATAACTGGTGGGCCAGATTTGGCCCATGGCTTGTAATTTACCAACCCTTGGTATGGTGGAAACTGAGGCTGGATTTAAAGCTAATTAATCGCTGAGGTGGTATTCGAATTCAGGTGGTTTTTTTTTTTAATGTTTTATTTATTTCTGAGAGAGAGACAGATAGCATGAGCAGGGGAGGGTCAGAGAGAGAAGGAGACACAGAATCTGAAACAGGCTCCAGGCTGTGAGCTAGCTGCCAGCACAGAGCCCTACGCAGGGCTCGAACCCATGACCTGAGCCGAAGTCGGAGGCTTAACCGACTGAGCAACTCAGGCGCCCCGCGAATTCAGGTTTTATCTGCCTCCAAACTTCATTGAATCCACTAACCCTATATACTGTTCCAGGACACAAAAGTTCCTAGGGATGTGCGGTCTATACTGAGGAAATCTGCATTCTGAAATATGGGTTGCTCTTTAATATTTTTTCTTTAACATATACTCAGCACTTACTGTGTTTCAAGCATGGCTCTAGATTCTTTGTACATATGAAGTAATTTAATCTTAACAGCAACCCTGTGGAGTAGGCAGTGGTATCATCCTCATTTAAGAAACGAGGAACCAGGCCCAGGGAGGTTGAGTGTCTTGTTCAAACAGACACAGCAGGGATTAGGGCTGGGATTTAAATTGAGGCCATTGGGCACTGACTGGGCTGGACTTTTTTATCACTACTCGATGCTTTCCATTTGGAGGCGATCCTGGTAAAAGTTTCACCATTTAACCCAAGGCCTTTCTGCTTCTTAGCTTTTATTTCCCTAGGTGATGAAAATGAATTCTTTTTCTCCACTTGGGACACATTAGCCCAGGATTTCCACCTCCTTTGTAACCTGTTCCTCCATTTCTCATCCAGTTGTTGGAAAGATGGAACGATGCACAAAGCGTAGAGGAAGAGCAAATTGAAGCATCCGTTGTGGGATTTGGGTACATTTCAAACTTCAGATTAATTTCCACTAACTAGGAATTGCTTAGTCCTGTCTCCAGGCGAAACCACAAGGCCCTGGTACTAACCAAGCTACAGGCACCTTTACCACATCATACATTTGTGCTTGCTTCCCACTTCAGGGAGCCAAAGATGTAACATGACCCTCTTGGTGATTGGCTTCACTAAGCAAGATATATAATGGTAACTCCAGGCAGTGAGTTGAATGCTATAATGCGCTTCACCTCTACTTAAAAATTTTTGTTTTATTAAATATATATACCAAAAGAAAAGGCAGAGGTGGGATTTCAGAGTCTTTCTGCTTAGGCTTTCTCAGTGACAGTCAAACAAATCCTGGCTTCCTGAAGCAGCAGCTCCCCAGATCATACTTGCAAAGAAGAAAACAAATTTCCCTCTAGAAATTTCCATTTTAGAGCTAGGAAAGTGGATCAAGTCAATCAGATTTGCTTCCCAAATTTAAATAAATACATACATAAACAAATGAAGGCTAGCTCCATGCACTTTAAGAAACAACTCCATGATCCGCATATTTCAAAAATACCAGAGCCCCCCTCTTTTTTTTTTCCAAAATAGTTCAGGTCACGGACTCTAGAGATCTGATGATTTGAGCCACTATAGAGGATTATTATAATGACCTGAAAAATTACATGATTACAAGGTAACACCTGTAAACCACGAATGCAACAATACTATCACAGTACCTGCT